AACTTACTCTTCTCACTCTCTCTAGAACCCCTTAAAGTTCTGCCCAATGTTCAGGCCACATAGCCACTTCTCTCTCCTCCTCAGAACTTTTATATACATCAATTTAACCTTTCCGGTTTATTCCTCACCACCCCACATCCTAGAACTAAACGTGTGGGCCTTCAGATTGAAAGAGCCTATCAGTATCAAAGAGGATAAACTTAAAAAATAAACTCACACATAGAGACATCATAATAAAACTCCAGAACACCAAGGTGGAAAAGACAGTGCTAAAAGAGTCTACAAAGGAGTGAGTGAGATCAACCACAGAAGTTTCAAGAAAATAATGGAACAATAGCTTAGAAATGCTCAGGAAAAATGAATTTGGACTTAGAGTTCCATAACAAGCCAAACTAACACTGGAGATGAAAATAAATTCTCAGGAAAATTTATTATCCACAGACACTCTCTGGTGGAGAAAGGAGAAGAACAAAGGAAAACCTACCAGAGAATGTACTCCAGCCAGAAGAAAAATGAATCCAAATGACAATGAAGGGGTAAAATTACAAAAATTTTATTTTTGTAATTAAAAAGTAACTTTTGAAAAGATTGGGGAGAAAGAAAAATAGGAAATACAACTTAATTCTTTACTTTTATATCCAGTCCATTTTACCTTTGTATAATATGTCATCACAGTTTACAAAATGCTTTCAGATAAACTGTCAGTAGCCACAATCACAGGACCTACAAAAATATGTTTTAAGAGGAACCATGTTGGAACAAATAATAATTCCAATAAAACCTGGAATTGCCCTTCCTGAGGGTGGTAATGCTCTTCTTGCCATGGAAGCTGACTGCCTTGCACCAATCATCATGAGGATAATAATAGTGGCTCTGAGGAGGGGTGGTGAATGTCAGGTTTAGCAGACTGTTTTTCTTACTCTGCCTGCCAAGTTGGACTAGATTATGAATTGGTAGGGAAGGAGCTCAACAGAAGTAAGAACTATAAAATTTCAGACCAGCTGATGCACCGAAAAGGGACTCGTTAGACGCTCAGGCTATGAGGGCTGGGGCCAGGATGTAGCCAAAGGGACCCACTCTGTGCAAGAGGCCTGCTAATAAAAGATCATAGGCTCCACAAAGGCTTCTGTTGAGAGGTCTATGGTGCTATTGCCTATGATGACACACACGATGAATTTAGGGCTTGGAATCTCTCGCTTGAACTTTTTGACGCCATTCCGGTGTGTGCCAGAGGAAGAGCAGCTGTTGAAAAGCAAACATTTTCCTGTCTCTAAAAATAAAATGCTGGCAACACTTCAGCCCCCTGTGCCAAGATCTGGCCCTTCCCAGGATAAACAATAGGTGGCCAAGCTGATCAGAGGCAGGCACTGAGCCCCAGGTCCAGCCTGGAATGCCTAGGTGCGGCCATGTGCAGCTGTAAAGCTAGAAGCCAGAGGGGGCCCTCCCTTCTCCACAGCTGATGGAGGGCAGCTCCAGCCCCCCAGCCAGGGACCAGTTGCGGCAGACTTGGGTTACACCAGAAACCTTGACGCAGCTGAGGTCATAGAACTCCCACCAACCCCTGCCCTCACAGCCCTGGGGTGCACAGTGACGGATCTGAGGGCCTGTGAGATCCTGTCCAGAGAAAGTTCCCTATGAAGGAAAGTTTCATAAGGATCTATCTGCATTCATCACTCAGGGCTGTGGCCATCCCCTGTCAAAACCCATCATGCCCAGCTGAGAGCCCTCACCTGCTAGACACAGGCCCCATAAACCAACTTAGTGTGGAGATGCTATAATAACTCATGCTTCCCACTCTAATTCCCTCCCAGCTCATCAAATGCTTCTACAGCACTGTTCCAGCCCCTGTGCCTTGTCGTTAGGGTTCAAATCTTCCCGAGACCATAAGCTTGGCTTTTTGCTGGTTTGGGGAGTTAAAAGGGCTAAGAGGGGGTTAAGGGAAGAGAGGGACTAAATACAGCAAATATTTGCAGACACAATCACTCCAGAAACATGCTTCAGTGGAACAGAGTGTAGGGCCGACCCAGATGATAGATGTCACTCACCCAAGTGTCATGTCATAAATAAAACTGAATGAGCCCATTCTCCTGCGGAACCAGAGCGATGCCTTTCACACTATAAATATTTATGTAGTCATGGTCCTTAAAAGACTTTATTTTTCCAGGTAAGTAGACTTTAATGACAAAGTTAAGCAGAGCTTTTCCCGCCATTACAGAATAGTCGCTGAAGCTTTTCAACGGGTATTCCACGGAAGGGAAAAGAAAAAGAAGAAAAGGAAAAAATAAGGCTCCTTCCCAGGAGGCTGCTGCTTGGAGATCTCATTTATGCCAGTCCAGGTTCATTCTCATTCAGAAAGTGACAGCCGTCAATGGGGTGGCGGAAACCAGAGGAAGCTCTATCGGACTCCTTCGGCCCAGGCCTGTGTGACGAAGGGAGCACAAGAAGATACACGTCACCCAAGTTCAGACCCCTCCCACCACCTCTGCCAGGTGAGGCCGGCTCCTTACTGCTCTCAGCTCTCTCTGCCCGCCTTAGTAACAGAAAAAATGTACACCTCAGCCCATTACTCTGCTCACTGGAGAAGCATTCTCAGAACGTGAGGATGCGTGTCTGGGTGTCTGGGAGTGTTCATGTCAAGTCCACCACTCCTGCTTTTATCTGCTCCTGGTTGCTTGAAGCAGGGCACCCCAGAAACCCTGCCAGCATCTGACCCGCTTTTCCTGCGCTCTTCACCTCACACCCTCCGCCAAGAGCAAACCCCCCTTGGGCTCCCAGCAGCGCTGTCATACGCCCCTCCTCCAAGGCACTGTGGCAATCCTGCCACCTGGAGCTCGGGAGCCATTGTCTCCACAACAGTTCATGCTAATTTTCATGTCACTTTGCAGTTTACTCATCTCTTCAATGAACCAAAACCCTAGCCCAAGTCCACCAAGCCAGTTTCTTTCCCAGGGCTGGCCTTCTGCCCGGGCTCCCCTCCCCTCCAAACCTCAGGGTGGCCTCTGCTATGTCAGCCTGAACTGGCCTCTCTGGGAAAATTTGATGATCGTTTGGTTCTAGTCTCGGGAAATCTTGTTTCACCAGGAACAAGAGTCTTTGGTTTTGTGCAATGAGTCTCAGGCCGCCTTGATCATGCCTGTCTGGGGAGGCTGGGGCTGCCATGTATGGTCCTCGCTCTGTGCCACCCACCTCTCCGTGTAAGTCGCAGCTCTTTGCCAGGACAGCCTGAGTCATGAAACAGCACATTCCTTACGCGTTGGATAGTCTTTCCTTGCTATTACTTTGCTTTTGTTTTATGCAGCACCTGGTTTCATTTAAAAAATTCAAATAAAATCTCATGGTCGGGGCTCAGGTGGGGTGGGGGGGTAGGAAGGAAAGAAAAAAAGAAAGGAGTGAAGCCTAGGTTAGGGGAAGGAAGAAAGGGCTGTAACTCCCCAAATAGGCAAGACCCAGAGCAGGACAGAGAGTGAGGGGCAGAGTAAAAGGCAGGGGAGAGAGCGAGAGACAGGGAATGTGCTAGAACTGAACTGAATTTGATCAGTCATTTTTCTGTATGTGATAAAGCACATGACGTCAGTCTCCTCCCCAAATGAGGCCCCAGGTCTCAGTTAGTCCTTTACTCATAAACCATGGGATCTTCTGTAAACCCCTACACTTTTTGAGTCTCCTCAATAAACTGACAGACTTCTTTTTGACGAATTCTAAGGAACTTTCCAGTTACAACACTATGATTCTACGAACCTATCTGTTCCCTTTTTTCTTAGACCACAAACCCCAACCCATGTGTATGGGAATATTTTTCCAGAGGCTAACATTTGTTTTTTTGTCTTTAGGGGGCAGAGGAATGGGGGACAGAAAGGGAGAAGGTGTAGACCCAACCGTATAAATGTTTCTGGTCAAACTGAATTTCTGTGGCCAGGTTATTTTGTAAAATCATCTGTAAAGCTGTTCACACCGGGTTTTAGAATTTAAAGAGTATTCCATTAAGCTATGCTTTGCATTCCGGAAAAAAAAAAAACCCAAACACAAACACTGAAAGAAAGAATGAATAAATACCTATTAACATAGAGAACTGTGTTTTCTTGGAGTAGTAAAACGTATTAATTACAGCACAAGGCCAGGACCCTTAGGTATTTAGACCTTCAACAGAGGCCGTCACCTCCCTCTGCCCGAGATCCTCTCCACGAGGCTGGCCAGGGCAAAACCCTGAAGGTTTCTGAGTGGCTCCAAGGCAGCATTCCAAAGCACGGTTTGGAGACCTTAAAAAAAACCATACGAAGGGATCCCGGGAATCAGACCAGATGGCTTTCCGGGAAGGTATTTAGCCTAACTTGGGCTAAAGAACAAAAATAACCACTAGGAGGTTTGGGAAGGCGGGGGGCGGGGGGGTGGGCACGGGTATGTTGGGGTGGTGGTGCGACTTTTAATTACCTTTTCTATTTAACAGAAATCATACCGAGGAGGACGGCTTGGTAAATGGGAGTAAACGGGGCACCGGGCAGAGAGGCGGGCGCGGGCGCGGAGGAAGAGGTGTAGCAGGAGGCAGCTACTTCCGTAACCACACGTAGTTCGGCGTCCCCCGGTGGGACAGCAGCAGCGGAGGCCCTTCGCGCCCGGGACAGCGACGTTGCCTTCCCGCACGCAGGGTCTCCGCGCCCTCCCTCCAGCGCACTCGGCGTGGGCGGGGGCAGCGGGCAGGAGGATGGCGGTGGGAATGCAGGGGGAGGAGGGTCGCAGAGCCGGAGGAGAAAGAGCAAGAGAAGGCGCCGGACACTAGATCCAGCGGGGGAGGAGGATCTTGGAGGGAGGAGGAGGACCTGCTGAGAGGCGGGAGGCGAGTGCACAGTAGGAGCCGGGAGACCAAGACAGCGGCGGGGAGGGGCCGGGCCGTGGGCGGGGCGGGCCGTGGGAGGGGCTTATGGAGGCTTGAGGGCACTCCGGAGGGAGCCGAGGCGAGAAAGGCCGCGACTCGCCCCGCCCCCAGGCTCCGCCCCCGCCGCGACGCGGGCCGCCCCTCCTCGCCAGCTTGCTTCCTGGCGGCGCCTCGCGCGGAGGAAGACCTGGCGGTGCAAGGCTGCAGCTCTGCCGGCTATTGCTCTGAATACAAAAGAGCCTTTCTCACGCCCCTGCGCCCTTCCCGGCCCGGGACCCCCGGACGGAAGGAGCTGGCTCGTTGGACGCTGGAGACGACAGCTGTCGGGGCCACACCACCATTTCTGTGGTTCTTGCAGAGAAGTGTGGTTCCAAGTATTTATTTTAAAGGAAATTTTAATAATGATTATAACGATGACTTTTGTCCCCTCTTCCAATTTAAGAGAAAAAACAAACAGGGATGAAGGCGTTTGAAGCCCCGGCAAGTGCCCAAGAAAGCTAACCTGCCCAGGTCCGGGTCTTCCCGGGCCCTCTCATACTTCAAAGGCGTTAATTAAGCAAGCTCTGGGCCTCCAGCTTTGTGGCTTCGTTTTCCGACTCAGCTAAATGATGAGAATGGTCTTCCCAGACTGTAAACGGAGTATTGATCAGCTTCTGAGTCTTCAGATGAGCTAGTCTTGCTTGTAGAATTACATGGTTCTCGAAGCTGGAAAAAAGAAATGGCCTGGTTGTCAGCACTCGCCCAAACGCTAAGGTTACTTTTTTGAACAGAATTGGGAATTAAACTGCCAAGACATCGGTAACGAGCAGGAATTGGGATTGTTCCTGCATTTTCTTCCACCTCCTTTAACCTTCCTATTTCATGTATTGTGTCTGTGACAGGAAGCCCAGATCAATTAGCAGGAGAGGAAAAAAAGGCAAGAACTCTTGGAATCAATAACCGAACCGTTCACTGCTTCTCTACTGCCCCTTAATCATCCTTTAGCGGTAAGATTTTTTTCCCCCTGTCTTCCCTACCATCCCTTTAGTCCAGACATTCCTGGGCGTGGATGTCTCTGCTTTCCAGTGTTACATCATGAACTTCTTGAAGACAGGACCCAGAAATATAAATATGCAGAAGATGGTTACCAAAAGCATTAGACACCAAGCAAATACTTTTTAAAGTGAGAATACTGTTAGTGATGGTTGAAATTTTCATTCAGTCCTTACTTATTGCTGAAAATCTCATTCAGTCCCTACTTGCTGCTGATGCAGGAATGTGTACATTTTACATCTCAGTGCTTGTTCCCATTCCCCCAAATATAATGCCTATTTTTTTTCAAATTAAGATTTTTGCCTTGGCCTATAAATTACAAGTTGTGATTTACTCTTTACTCAGAACTCTAGGCCCAAGGCTTCCCAAACAAGCACCCCATATTAATTGTGTGGGGTGTGCCTGTGTGTGTGTTGTACTTTTAGCCTGTTGCACCATATAAACAAGAGCAGGATGTAATGTCATTAATTTGTCGGTAATTGTTGACTAAAAAGAAGCTACTGTGAGTATAGAAAATTCACTTTAGGGGAGGGGGTCGGGGAAGCACCTCGAAGAGACAGGCAACTGTTCCCTGGAACAGCTGCGGACACTGGCAGCGGAATTGCTTGGCATCAGTACGACTCTGTGCAGCAAGAGGGATTTATTTATTTAACAATAGTTCATGATTCTCCCGAGCAACTCCCAGGAGGCCAGCTAGCAGTAAATATACTTTCAGGAAATCAGCTACCCTTCCTAGAAGCAGGCATCAACCCTACAGGGAAGAGAGGTCCCTGGCTGCCCGCATAATACAACATTCAGTGGACTGCCCAGCTTCAAATGCCCCCGAACAACTCCCTCCACTGCCTGCCACAGCCCTGCCCTCCCGTGCTAGGAAGGTTACCTGGTAACTTTCTGGAAGGCCACCATTAAATAGATTAGCTACCTGGGAACTGGAGGTGGGCCGTTTCAACCCTGTCCCATTAGCGAAATTTATCAGATAAGCCTGTTGGTGCCCACAGACTAGGATTTTCCAAAGTGATATGTATATATACTGGTGGTTCTTATGATAATGTTAGATGATAGTTGAGTAACATTTTTATTTTAATGGTCAGGTTTTGGGTTTTTTTGGCCTTGCTGTGGTGCGGCAAGCGGGATCTTAGTTCCCCCACCAGGGATCAAACCCATGCCCCCTGCAGTGGAAGCTTGGAGTCTTAACCAGTGGACCACCAGGGAAGTCCAGGTTTTTGTCTAATGCACATAACTAGCATACCAAACCCATGGTATTGTAAATATAATTACTTAGGGTGAGGCCACATTTTTTAAGTCAATTTAAAGAGAAATCTTAAGCAGAAGTAATAGGATAGCAGAAATCGTTGTAACTTTTATATTAAATGAGGTGAAGTCAGTAGGGTGCTTGTAGAAACCAGTTTTTATTCTTTCTTTCTCTAGAAGTCTCTGCCAGAACTCTTAAGATATAAGAAGAATCCCATTTTCATATCCTGTTAAAAATTACTGGGTTTTGAGAATGTCTGAGTAGGCAAGACAAAGCCCCTGCTCTGGAGGGCCACGTCAGGGGGAGCGGGGACAGGAGATGTTGGGTAGCAGAACGGGCACATGAGGAAGCTGAGCCCAGGACCCTGGGCACCCACGGTGGGTCCCCAGAAGGGGAGGACAATCTGAGAACTTATTGCCTTTTTCACAAGAGGTGGAATCCAGCAAATCCCTGATGTCACTGATGAGAATTTGGACCGTAGGAGAGAAATTCCAGTCCCTAAAAGCCTCTTTGAGGCTTGTTTCCAAAATAACTGTAGATATCTAAACAAGAAATGTTCATGATGCTTTTGGGAAGACTACTTATCAGAATATTCTATTTCTATAGTCTTTTCTATTTATCACATGATTGTAAATTGTGGATTACCTTCACACCAATTCTAAACACACACACACCTCCACCCTCACGGCTACACTGTGCAAAATCACTGACACTCCCAGGGATCCACTGTTGGGTGACAAGTGAAAAGATTCTTACATGCTTCAGGAACTCTCTTCTTAGTCAGCTGTACTTCATCAGGTTCTCAGATGCTGGCTTTTTAATTCTGACATCTGGCATGAAGAGACAGACAGCCAGTGTGTAAGTGCTCGTGGTAGAGTCTATCATAGTATAAATAAATGAACTGTACAGACATTCCTAAACCATTTTTTTTTCCTAAACCATTTTTTAATCAATAGTTCATACACACTACCTACCTCTCACACACACACACACACACACACACACACACACACACATGCTACCCTCCCACCCCGACCCCCAGCTTCTGTCACCATCACAGCCTTTTCACAGGTGCACTCTTTTTCAGAGCTGCTGCTAGCAGTGCCTCTATGGGAATCCCCCCACTGTTTACTTCAGCTTCCTACCATCCTTACAGTTAGGAGAGGTATGTGCAATGACGTAACAAAGTGCATGATGGGAGGAAGGAGGCAAAAGGCCTTAAATGACTTCAGACTCTGGAATGGATGAAGATATCAGATAAAGATCATAATTACAATAAAGGCAGAACATGAATGTAAAGTGGTAGTTTGGGATTGGACTTACAGGTTCTTTCATAACTTGGAGGTGCTAGAGGAAAATCCCCAGACAGAATTTGGTGTGCCTGTGAAAAAGAGAGGTAAAAATAAAACCAACCACATTCACAATAGAAACTTAATAAAATTCCTTTTCCACTGTTGTGTTTCCACTGTGTCATCCTCCCCATTCAAAAGGCATTTGATACTGCTGTCAGCAGCCACTATACTAACAGATACTAGCAATAGAATAGAAAGACAAAATTGGAGAAAATATTTATAAAATTGCTATCCTTATATGCAAATAGCTTACACAAGCCAATAAGAAAAAGCTAAACACCCTGGTAGAAAAATGGGCAAAGGAAGTGAATACAATCACTTCTCGTTGCTCATGGATTCCATATTTGAGAATTTGCCTGCTTGCTAAAATTTATATGTAAACCCAAAGTCAATACTCGCGGCACTTTTTAGATTGTTCAAGGACATGCCCAAAGTGGCAAACAGTTTGAGTCACCTGACATGCACAGTCTCGATGGAGGTCCAACAAGAGCACACTCTTTCTCGTTTCAGCTCTCATACAGTAAACAAAGTGTCCTTTTTGCAGCCAATTTAATGCCACATGTTCTGCATTCTCATGTTTTTTGTTAATGACTTTACTGTTTAAGATGGCCCCCAGGTGCAGTGCTGATGTGCTATCTAGTGTTTCTAAGTGCAGGAAGGCTGTGATGTGCCTTACAGAGAAAATACGTTTGTTAGATAAGCTTTGTTTAGGTACAGGTTATAGTGCTGTAAGTTCAACATTAATGGATCAACAATATATATTAAATAAGGTACTGTTAACCAGAAACACGCATAAGACAAATTTACATACGGTGAAAACCGTATGACCAGAGGCTCACAGAAACCTGACCCTCCATTTCCCTTAGGAGCAATAATAGTTCAGTATTCAGTGATTCAGTGTTAGTGGAGACTTTAGAAAAGATAACTACGTTGAATAATGAGAATTGACTATAAGTCACAAAAGAGCTATGAGTAACTAGTACACAGAAGATGCTCAACCTCACTGATAATCAAAGAAATGAAAGTTAAAAGGAGATTGAAAACAGCAAAATTATTTTTTAAAGCCAGTGTTAGAGAAAATATCGGAAAACAGGCACTCTTGTGGACTGCTAGTTCATAAGGCTAATTTTCTGGAAGGCAATTTGGCTGTACATCAAAATTTAAAATAAGCATACCTTCTAACCTAAGAATTCTACTTATGGGAAAGGACTCTGAGATGATGATTGTACAGTTCTAAAAATTTATATTCAAATTTACTGATCCCAGCACTATTTATAATAGTTAACAAATTTTAAAAACCTAAATGCCCAGCAACATGGCATATTTTTAAATTGATACATCCAGTCAATGGAATATTATGTATCCATTAAAATAATGATTGTGTTAACGTTGAAGATGCCCATGAAAACATTAAGTGGTTAAAGCAGATTACAGAGGACTAGAGTACATCCCATCAATGTACTCTAAGTGTATGCCTGTGCGCATCTTTATGTATGCATAAGTATAGAGATAAGTTTCTAAGGAAGTTCACTAAAATGTTAGTGGTGATTATCCCTGGGGAGAGGGGAAGGATTTCAGGTGACTTTTACTTTTGTCTCTATTTCTCTGTATTATTTGAAAGTTTTCAATCAGAGAAAAGCTGTTTTTGTTTTTAACTGTCAGTGTAGTATGTATCGTTATTGTCACACATGGGAAAGAGGAAAAGTTGGTGACTATTAAAGAAAGTACAGTATCATTAGTTCACAATTATAATATTGGTTAACTCTGTTTCTCCATCATCTAGAGGAAAGCTACACACATAATAAGCACTCAGGAATAAATGTTTAATGAATGAATATATTAAACAATAACTCCAACTCCCTCCAGTTTTTTTTTAATAAATAATATGCAATATGCAATCATTTAAGCTCTACATGTAAATGATCACTGAGAAACGTTGCACTTACCACTCCATGCTTGACATCAATGAATTTTTAAAGGAGCTGGTTATATGAGGGAATAGTCCTGCGTGCAAATGAAGAAGGAAAACCTTCTTCAAGGATCAAGCCCAGTGCTAGAATAAAATTTCTTACATTCCCAATTAGGCTATACCAACAAATTGTATACACATCACTTATTTCCCTTTAGAATCTGACCAACAGAAAAGTAAGAGGTAAGACAAAGCTATAAATAAAAGTTAAGTCATAGTAAACATTCTGGAGCTTCTGGGGTGGCTGGGTAAAGTTGTTTGCTTTTTATAGTACATATTTCAATATTATTTTAAAAAGAAAACCATACTGATAATAGCTAAGAAGACATTGAAATTGAGTCTATAAAAAATAGTGTTATCAGAATAATTCAGTTTTATATG